GGTAGGTTAAAAAGAGCGAAACTGTAAAAGAAAGAAGGAAAAGTTTGGCATGACCTAAGGGAAGCACCCGAGAGGATCAGCAGCCCATTCTTCAGCAGCAAGATCAGCCAGCCCCTGAATTTTGTCACACTGCGATTCCTCCGTGAGATCCGTCCTTTATGATGCGAGGCTGTTTTTTCCTTTCGGATTTCACAGAAGGATAATGGCGGCCCAACCGATCCTTTGGACGCGCTCGTTATACATCCCGGCATTCGCGACGGGGCGCAGCTGCCTAGGACTAAAGAGGAAAAAAAAAAAAAAATTTTATCTAGTACCCAGATGCAATTTATGCAAATTGAAGTCTGGTTGCATCGAAGCGTCGAATCTTGGGCGTCGCGCAATGACGCGCGGCAAAAAATGTCGGCCGGGAAGTGTAGATGAAAAAAAATAATTATTAACGGCGGGGAGAAAAAAAAAGGGGCGCCTGAAAAAGAGACGAACGCGTAAGACGGCAGACGCGCGCATTCAAAAGGATAATGGTTTTGCGTTCGTCAAACGATAAAAAGGACTTCGGCAGACTTGGACCCGGCAAAAAGTTGCTTAATTAAAATATTAAATACACCGCGAAGACGCCGCTGCTCCCTTCGCACTTTGCCCGGCTCCTCCTTCGGCAACGACCGAACGAAAGCTCCGCGTGCGGAACCTAACCTAACCTAACCTAACCTGCAACGGCTGGAAGCCCGTATCGCTGCGCACTCTAGGGAGCGGCGCTTCAGATACTTTCCTAGGCTAGGAGGCTCCGGCTAGAGAAAGTAGTTGGCCTGGTGAGGATCAGAAAATGGGGAGGGTCCGTAAGGCCGGGGCCGGAGCCAGCTGCACTGCCGTATAATATAACGAGGCTAAACCCAGGCACCTACTGCCAATAGGAACCAACTGTTCATTAGTCTGTTGGTACAGGCTGCTTCAAATTCACGTGACAAATGAGGGTGGCGAGGGAAGGAAGACTCTTTATCAAAAAGAACGGCACCTCGTGTGCCTTTTTGGGGATTTCGATGATCCATGGAACGAGTCATGTAACGTTTCAACGTACGATGCGTCGTTTCTGAATAACGTGGAACCATTATCGCGTGACCTTGAAATTGTCATGGTTGCCCCTGCGCACTAATTTTTGATAATTTCTTACTCACTGATAGCAGATTCGCCTTGTTCGGTATGGCCTTCGCTTTGTTCTGTTTAGTTCTTACTTTGTTTTACCTTTAAGTCAATTAACATTGCGCCCGATTGCAAATAGTAAGCTATTTACTGTACAGACAAAGTCTAACAGTAAACTATTGATATTCACAAGCAGTTTCAAAGAGTTTTTGAAAAAAAGACTATTTTTGAGATAAATTACTCCCTCTTTAATTAATTCACACACTTTATTTGTCTGTTTTGATTACATTTTTATTTACAAAAAGAGATTGAAAATCATGTAGACTGATATGGCGACAATGCAGTGGCCTTCTATAGGGTTCTAGAGCGCGAACGAACCTTCTACCTAAACCACAGCTGCTCGAAGGGTAAGTTAGGAACCTCCTAAAACACAAGTTACCGACAGTATTAACGTAGGTAAATAAAAAGTGGTAAAAGAGTCAATTTCTAGTAGATACTAAATCAGAATAGAAATACCCAGTCAAAAATCAATCGAATTATTCGAAGTTACGAGGCCAATTTGATAAGGAAAATTCATGGAGAAGAAAGATCTTTCGCTCGTAATCTCTTCGTTTCGTTGCAATTACAAATATGGGAAAATTTTCAAATCGGTCAACTTTACGAAAACGAACTTCACCTCACGAAAGCCAATATCATTAATTACCCATAATGCACGTTCCCGTCAATGCAGTAAAAATCCCATGGGTTTCCAAATGCGTGTCCGCAGCAGCTGTCAACCCATAGGGATTTCCATGGCATTTTCATTTTCCCTCCACCGAACTACCCTGCCCGGGCGCAGCCCCTTCCGGCCTTTTCCCCCCATTTTTCCGGCCGTCCCCGGTTACCAGGGATTTCGAGTTTGCCCAGAGAAATAAACCTAAGCACAGACCGAATTGTCAAAGGGAGACAATCAGCATGGTGAGGGTACCTATACCCAAAATCTATCCATCCATCCATCCAACGATCATTCTGCCTTCACCTATAGGTTCATCCATTCGTTCTGGAGTAGCAACGCGTTGTCGGTCAGGCTCAAAGGCAGATCTGACAGAACCGAACGGAACGAGCGAACCACCCCTAACCGATATCGACCGAGTTCAAACGAGAAACATCTGCTTCCAATAAAAATGTGTATAATTTTGATAAATTTCATATTAAAATAAAAAAAAATTTCACGCAAAGAATTTTTCATTTTGAATTTTTCATTTTCAAAATCACATTTTTCTCAATCGTACAAATTACACGCTACGTGTATTCTCTTGAATTTAGACTCGATTTAATTTCCTCAAGTGTCACTGGAATTTATTAGCTTCTCTACCACTAGACTCCTGTGTCTCGTACATGCAGCTTATGTTGGCAGCTTCACCCTGATTCCTGCCTAACCCTAAAAATAAGTCAAGCGCAAAGTAGCTAACGACATTTCATGGAATTTTTCCAGCTTTTTCTGCATCACCCAAGAATCTCTTCTATCTTTGGAAAAATCCATAAACAACTCTTTCCCCGAAACCTTTCCTTTCCCATTGCACGCTATTAACTCCACGCTAGTTGCCTATCGCAATTAATGAAAGACCAATAAAGAGAGGACAGAACGACGTTATCGATATGAGTTATGTTTCCTCGTTCAGAGTGGTGTGACCTGCCTCTTACAAAGGCTACATATTTCTATGCAGCGACCGAAATCGTGCGGGCGATTCTATGGAGCCCAATTGTTCGGCCTCACGATTAGACCCAGGGCGTGCTTGCTCCACTCAAAGAGAGTGAATAGGGACGAGAGGGGGAGCGAGAGAGAGAGAGAGAGAGAGAGAGAGAGAGAGAGAGAGAGAGAGCTTCTCTCTGGTTAAAGCAAGGATTTTAATATTCGTAAAATCTGAGAGCTCGGGATATTACACTGAGGATGTTTATTGTCAATAAATAAAAGTAAAGTACTCTCCCCCTAAACGAAGATAACGTTCTGATAAATAAAAATATTCTCAAGCGAAAAAACAAGAAGCGTCAAAGAATAACGGAAGCCACGTTCTTCCTCCCTTCAATTAAATTCTAATCCTTCGCTCAACCACGTGGAAATGATAAAACTACACGGAGCTCATTCTGTTTGTTATTAATTACGCGAAATAGGCGCCGTTTTCGTAGCCAGACTTTGATTTTGAAAATACAAGATATCAAAGATCTTGGCTTTTCTGTCAATATTTTTCTTGAGCCATTTAAAAATTCTCCGAGTTCGAAATTCAAAAACGACATAGTAACCGATTCGAAATGGCGAAATTCTTTTGAAACTGTCTCCGTAAGCTAATTCCGATGTATACGTTATATTCAAAACACCCTGTAGATCCTGCGGCAGCCTGGGCCTAAACGTCATAGGGAAAGAAACGGCAAACAATGACGAATCTGACGCGAAACAAAATATTTGGGAAATCGAACGGCTCGTTGCTTTTTTCCTCGCTCGTTTGTTTCCTCGAGGAAGCAGCCGGAGCCCTTAAGTCCGGTTCATAGGGGTGTCGAGGAAATTCTTAAATGCCAAGTAAATGATATCGTTAAAAGTTCAAGATTCACTGAACGACGAATAATTGGGCTCGTTTCCAAATGACGCATAGATGTGTATAGAAAGCTGCGATAAAGATCTCGATGGTAGCGGAGGAACGGAGGGAAGGACTGTCTGTGGCACTCTCGTCGCAAATGCACTGGACAATAGGCAGCGACTATTCAAGGTCAACCTAAGAAGGGTCGGAGAGAGATACTCCAAGAGAAAGAAAGGAGTGGGAAAAAGAGAGAGAGGATTCGTCGCCGAAGCAGGAGGATCGAATATTTTCTATTAATGATCCAACCTCATCGAGCACCTTCCCTCTCTCTCTCTCTCTCTCTCTCTCTCAATCTCTCTAGTTTCCTCTCTCTCTCTCTATCTCTCTCCCCGTCTCTCTTGGTCCCTCAGCTAACAATGAGGGAAACCTGTTGCTCGATAATCGCAAACCCGAACGAGTTTCAGGAGCGAGACTAATGCGAGGACAATAATCGATCGATGGTTCCCCGTTCGTCGAAGAAGAGTCGCGATTCACGGGTAAAAGAGTAAAAGCGAGGATGCAGTTAAAATATTGAGAGAGAAAGAGAGAGAAAAGCGAAAAGAGGCGATACGAATAAGGAAACGCGGTGGACGGTAACAAATTTTCTAAAATTACAAGACCCTATCGACGAGTAACTGGTGAAGATAGGAAGGGAATGTGCGAGAGAGAGAATGAATGACGAGAGAGAGAGAGAGAGAGAGAGAGAGAGAGAGAGAGAGAGATGCAAGGATAGGAGAAACGTTAGCCCGGCGTAGGTTAGGCACGTTGCGTCGCTAGGCATGCGAGTAGCGGAAGGAGGAGGAGGCCACGAGGAGAGCCGAGGGGCGGAGGAGGTGCTCGTACTACTCCTCCAGCCCTCGCCCCGCCATTCCACTCCAAGAGCACGAATGTTGCTCTCAGACTTACGCATAGCCTCTCTCTCTCTCTCTCTCTCTCTCTCTTCGCTTTACGCAAGTCTCGGCAGTCGAACGCTGTGCCGAGACCGAGCGGCTTTCCGTCTGGAGGGGATAGCAGTTTGTGCGAAATCGCACTCGCCAAAAACACCCGGTAGATTTTGCAAGGCTCGCACGCACCCGAGAGCACGAGCGACACCGGTCTGGCTGGGGCCAATAGGAGCCAGAGGCGGGAGTCGCTTCGGCCACGTGGTGCCGTGCCGGCCAATGGGCGAGCAGGTTTCGCGGATTCAAGCAGGCCGGCATGTCGTCAGCGAGAAAAAAAAACGAGTTTGCATCGCGTCCGAAGCCCGCAGCGAGCGGACGAGCCAGCCGTGGCTAGCCAGAAGAGCTAGAAGGAGTCAGGGTACTGCGCGCTGCGTTTCCGTGCGAGACAAATTTCCTCGGCTACGAGCACACGGAGATTCAGCGAAGAGAGACAGAGCGAAAAGATAAAGGAAGACACGGCGGCGGAGGTGAGAGGAGAACACGGAGAACGCGGGGACACGCGGCGAGAGGAGAAACGCGCGAGGGAGTCGCCAGCGAGAACTGCCAAGGAGACACGGGAAAAGAGTGAGTGGGTGCGAGAGAGGGAGGGAGAGAGAGAGAGAGAGAGAGAGAGAGAGAGAGAGAGAGAGAGAGACTGCGAGAGAAGCAACCCGTGAGTTTATTCTTCGGCTACGAGAATTCGAGCTAGCGCGCGCCGGTTCACCAGGTCCAATCGGGTCGACCGGCTTCGTCGGCTTCGTCGGCTTCGTCGGCTTCGTCCGCACCGTCAGCACCGTCAGCAGCGCTACACGTTCACCACGTCGAGCGTCACCAGGGAAGACACTGAAAGGTCCTCGCATTAAGGGGAGAGAGTGGAAAAGAGAGAAAGAGAGAGAGAGAGGGAGAGACACAGCCGGAATCGCAGACCGTATAGATAAGGAGAGCATCGTCAACGCAGCACGAGAGAGTGAGAGAGAGAGAGAGAGAGAGAGAGGGCAGAGGGGAGAGTAGGCAAAACACGAGAGCAAGAGAGAAAGAAACGCGTGGAGCCAAGGAGCTACAGAGTAGGAGAAGTCCGTGAGAGAGAAAGGGATAAAGAAAGAGCTCGTAAGAGAGAGTGCGAGAGAGAGAGAGAGAGAGAAAGAGAGCCGGCGACACGTGACTACCTCTTCTCGTTCGAGCAGAGCAACATCGGCGGGCAGCACATCGGGCCCTCGTCGTCCTCCTCGTCGTGACCGCGTCCCGGGTTTTCAGCAGAGACCCCCGACGTCACCCGGACTCACTCGCCGACCCCGTAGACGCTCCGACCAGTAAGTTAGAGCGTATCCTAGACATCCTCGCGCCAACCGGATTCGGCAAATCGACGTGAGCGCGTTCTCGCCTGTCCTCCGCCCCCCTCCCGCCCCCCGTATCGTCATTCTCGTGTTTCGTGCTCGTGGTTACTCGTGATATATCGGTGTCGGGAAACGCGAACTCCTCGTTCTCCCTGTGTTATCGTCGGGCGATCGTCGGCGCATGCGCACGAGCGACCTCTCCGCCGATACAGGAATTTTGATCGATCGACAGATTCATCGATAGCCCAACTCGCCGTGAGCTCTGAAGAAGAAAATACCTCAGCATCGGACTTGGAGACACAGCAGTACCCAGGAGAGAAGTGGAGAGCCAACGAGAGAGAGAGAGAGAGAGAGAGAGAGAGAGGGACGGGCCAAGGAGCATCGTCAACTAGTCACTCAAGATCCTCGATAAAAGAAAAGGCATCACCATAGCGTCGAAAAGCGAGCCGAGCACCATGTCGAAGCTCTACGTCGGCAATTTGCCGTCGGATTGTAACGAGAACGCACTCCGGCAGTTGTTCCAGGATCACAATCTGTCGTGCACGACGATCCTGGTGAAGCGCGGCGGTTACGCGTTCGTCGACTGCATCGACCAGTCCACGGCCGATCGGGCCATCGACAAGCTCAATGGTGAGTCCACCTGCGACACCTAACCTAATCTCATACGCATACGTATTGCTGCTATCTCTCCCACCCACCCCCTCCACTGCCGCTCTCCTCTCTCTCTCTCTCTCTCGCTTCACACTGTACTCACTCCCTCGCACTCAACCCACACGATACTCGCTTAATGCTTCCAAACGCGTAAACTGCTCTCTTTGCTTTTCCTACATCGTGAGATCCAGCCACCCTCGCACAGGCTCCGTCGACGCTTTTCACGACGCCTCCTGGACGCTCGTCGACGCTTCCTCCGCTTACTCGCCAAGGCTTTAGAGAAGATGCTTGCGAAACGCCGCTTGCCAAATGCTCCAGGACGCTTGTCACAACGTTTTGCTGCTGCTGCTGCTGTTAATGATTTTTTTGTTTTTTTTTTTTTGGGTTTTTTTTCCTAATGACAATGATGCTTCGTTCTAGCTTGAGACAAATTATACTGCCGATGCTTATTGAAAACGCTTGACAATGACAATGCTTTGCACCACGATGCTTCTTCCCGAACATGCTTCTTTTCCAGCTGTCGACTCATCAGCCATTTTTCCCGCCTTGCGCAGAACGCCGGGAGCATGCTCTGAAGTAGGAAGCCAGTCGCGACCAATCGAGACCAGTCGAGACAGGCTTTCTATCTCTCTTCGATTATCTAGCTTATTCCGTCCAGTGGTCTGCCGACGGAGACTCCGTAGCTCTTACGAGTCAACGATGAATTTTTCATATTTCTCAAGAGACAAATTCTTAGACAAATATTGAAGTAACGTGTATGAACGCGTCAGGGAATGCTTTTACTTTTCTTTGACTGTATGGACAATTAGCCACTTGTGTCAGGTAAGTTTCTTTCTTTTTTTTTTTCGCCGCACAACAATATCAGCATGCTAACGCTTTTACAATATTTACGTATAATACGCGGCGTTTGGATTACGTCAAAGCACATATGGTCCTGTTAATTAGGTTATAGTTACTCCTGGTGACGTGTGTGTCTGTTACCTGGAAGCGAGCCGAGGAGCGTGGAACGTTGTAAAGAAATAGAATAATTGTACCTGAGGAGTGTAGACATTCGAAAATCACAATGACAATTTCACGACTGGAGGATAACGAGAAACGATTAGGCGGTAAAATTTCGTTTGGTCCGGACGTTTCGCTCGTTTTCCACGCTTCTCCAGTAGAGCCCTACCGCAGCGCCATCTGCGACATGCGCGTCCCCCGCCAAAGATACACGAGCGATCGCCCCTCCAACCTCTCCCGCACTCCTAGGAACTTTATTATTCCCCAAGAAACATTGAGAAGCCTCTATGAAAGATAAGGCACTCGAGAAAATGTCTTTTCCGTCTTTGAACGCGTGCGGCTTCGCAGGTGTGGCGATCCACGTGCTTAATGGCGATCAATTGGGAAACGGTAGTCAACGCTAAAAATAGCTCGGTCGACGCCGCGAATGTATGTGGATTAAATCACGCATCGGAGGAGACTCGTCTTATTATTATCGCGCTCGACTTGTCTCGGCCATCGTTCCGAACGCGTAGAGAAAAAGCCACCCTGAAAGGACGAGGAATTTTTGTTCTTCAGCCAAGCGAGAAATTTTCTAGTTCCCTATCCCCCCGCCCCGCCCCCCTCCTCCTGCCCTTGCCAATCCCCACTCTATTCCGGCCAGCCACGTCCACCCCAGGTTCTTGTATTGTTAGTCTAGTCGTCTACTAGTTTAGGATGTCTGGCAGGCCAAGTCGACCGATGCCAGCGGGCTACACTAGCGCTTTCGGTAGGCAGCGGTTCGAAGCTGCGTTATTTTTCCCAAAGGAATATTTACTCTCTCCTCTTCACCGTCTCTTTTGCTATGGTGTCGGCTCTCTGTCCCATGGTTCTGTTCTTCGGGATGGCAACTGCCAGATCTTGGAGAAATATCGTACTGGGTTAGACGTGTACACTGGCCGATAGCCCGGTCTACTTCTGGCTTGGAAAATTTTACCACGTGGTGAGGGGGACAGGCGCACGCCGGCCGGTGGGTTGCCCAAGATGGCGTCCCGTTTGTCTAGAGCAGCAAGGTCACGCGTGTTTCGCCGCGTAGATAAGTCCCTGATAATTGTTCGTGGCGGCGAAACTAACGGTTCCGAGCAGATCGAACCGACGAGACTGAGAGAACTGTGGAATCGTAACGTCGAGACGTCCCTGGCGCTGAATTTACACGAGACGCGCATTAATAGCAGCCACGTGTATCGATAGGAGAAAGCGAGACACACCGTGCCAGTGATCGAGACCGAGAGAGACAGACTACCCGGTGCTACGAAAACGAAGAAAGATTTTTTCACGGACTGAAATGGAAATTTTGTGTGTCTCACTTGTGACTCGGATTTACAGTTGAACGAGACGCGGCGATAAGATAAAAGAGAAAACTGCTTTACCGTCCAACTCGCGTCTATCGACTTTGTGGAATTTTCGAGGTATTCGTTAAAAACGTGTCAGACTCATTCGAAGGCGCTAATCGGTTCGTCACACTTGCATCCCACGGCTGCCAACCGTGTGGAAGCGAAGCCTAAATTCCTCGAAGATCATCGACAGCCTCTCGAGCGACGTAAAACATTGTCAGTGTCCATATTAACCGTAGACTCGTTTCCGACACGAAAGAAAGTAATTACACTTCTTACGTAGACAAATAAATGATGAACCACCCGTTAGAATATATCTCAGACAAAAACCTGCAGTACACCGATAACGAATCTCTTCCGTCTACGTCCCAACACTTTTCACGCCTAAATTCTGTTTCCGTCCTGCACTAGATAGGAAAAAACTTGAGCGTCGGAACGCTGGCGTCCAGATACGTATTTGGAAGAAAGAAAAAAACGAAAAAAAAAAATGTACTCAAAGGGAATCGAACCCTCGTTCGAAATGACCCGCTGCCAGTCCGAAGTCTCGAAAATGTCACGTACAATGCCAGAAGAGCGTTAGCTCCGCCACGAGAGTAGAACTAGTTTGGTAGGTTAGGTTTTAGGCTAAGTTCCGTCTAGCTACGGTCAGGTCAGGTTGGGTTAGGTTGCATAGGCTTGTACTGAGTCACGGCGCTCTTCCTCCGGCGAACTCGCTCTCCCTCTACCCCCCTCCCAGCCACCGGACCTCCCAACTTCACACACCACCCAACGTTCCCACTTCCAACGCTTTCTCCGTAGCTTCGTCAGTCACCGACACAGCCTCATGTCGTCATCTCATCTTATCTCGTTTCGCTTCATCTTTTATCTCATCTCGTCCCCACTCCCCTCCACATCGCTCTATGTCATTCCCCACAGACTCGAGCTTCCTATGCGTGACACAGGCAATACCGTACCACCGTCCGCTCGCGCAACGCAGATCCCTGGCACTAGTGTCCCGCGCACGATGCTCCTAAAGTCTTAAGAACCTTAAAAGTCAGCGGCAGAAGGGAGTCAGACTTTACAATCGGAATGACTCGGTGCCGTCGACAGGAAACTGCCACATTCTTCCATGCTCTCTTGAGCCCCTCTTGTTTCCTCTTGCTACGGGCTTCGATAGTCTCTCTCTCTCTCTCTCTCCCTCTCCTACCTGAAAGACAATCTACTCCTCGCTGGCTTTAACGTAGAAATTTCCAAATTTACAATTCATTTAAAATATTACCTCGATCAAAAATCATACTGGACCGACTCGTATGCACAGATTGGCTGTAGTTGGTCAATGACTGTAGTTTCCAAATCAATATTGATACCGCTATCCAATATCGATGACAGCGTCTGGATTATATCACTAAGTAGAACTAAGTAGAGATTTTAGTTGAGATACCTCGGATATCCGTTCAAACTGCTCGTAAGACGCTTCGATTATGGCGGCCGTCTTAAATATTTCAAAACTTTTCACTCGAATTACGTAATTTTTTTTCTTCTTTCTCTTTCTCTCTCGCTCTCGTTTCTTGGCTTCTCTTTTCGGGACGCTACGATTGTTTTCACGAACTAACGAGAGGCCCGCGCGTCTCTCGCCCACCTATAACGTCCCCCGTGTGTTTTACTCAGCCCCAAAACGTATTTTAAGCACGACCCTATGTCGTAATAGGCTCGCCAAGCGATTGCGAGGAGCATTATCATTTTTCACGAGTACGTAACGAGTCGACGAGAACCCCAATGAAACTTTTGATTATCGTGTTAGCTATTCGTTACGATATAGGTATACCCACCTATGCCTGTCAAATATGAGACGCGTACGTTATTCTTCATGTGAAATATAGCCGAACGCTTCGTCAGTCTCTGTTCCTTTGTAAAATCGAATCAACGCAATAATTATCTAACTTTGTTTCGATTCGATTTTTTTTCAATACCTCAAAATCGAGGAAATTTTTTTTTATTTACTAAAAAAAGTACCCCTTGAACGCTCTGAAAATTCGTCTAATGTTAGTTTCTTTTCCCTTAGTCGCGGATTATTGGCTATCTGTTTCCATTTTTTCGCTCTTATCTTATCTGCATTTCCATTGCGAAATCTATCGGCTACATCGCGTCAGTGAATCTATATCGTCGATACGTCTCATATGCGTCCAAGTATGCAGGCAATTAGTATGTCAGTATAACATATTGGTATATTAGTTTCTACATTACGGATGATCAATTTTGTCGAAATTTGGAAGTAAAAGAGACTTATGATTTTTGAAAAATCTCACGATCTGCCTATCGGGCAAAAATTTTTTACTGCAATGCTAATGCACGGTGTGTCTTAATTGATGATTTAAGGTTCGAGTAAATTTATGAATTTGTAATTTTTACGTCACGGCTGGAACCCACGTTACAGGCCGGCTCTCCGCCTTTAATACACGTTATCGTGCAGAATGCATCTGATGCACTTGAATCGTACTGCATAATGCAAGAAAAACCTTACTAATTAGCATACAGATAGACAGCTATCTGATCGATGTGGACTGAAAGGCTTCCTACCAAATAAACCGCATGACTTTGCTGCATTCTTTGTTAACGTTGCCTCACCCTGCATAAAGTCCGATCCACAAT